TCTTCTGACATTGTGTAAGAAAAAGAATCCCAAAAGTGTTTACCCTTATATATGTTTCTGGGTATTTACTCATTATGGCTTGCACACGCTGTTATGTTTATGGCTTTTAATATTAAAACAATAAAATATAGTTTTCAGGTATTGTGTTGTCTTAACAGATGTAAGGATCAAACGAGAACACAAGCTGCAAACACAAGCTATACACTTTTGATCTCTATTGAGGAATTATCAGATTTATACATAAAATACTGATTAATGCACAACTACAATTAATTATGATTTAATTAAATAATGTTTATTCAAATAACAACCTATCTAACAATCAATTATGATTTAATTAAATGATGTTTATTCATACATTCATAATCATTTAGGGTTTAATTAAATGATGATTATTTTTTTTGTAATGCAAATTTTACCTACGAATTATAATATTGCTGCAACAATTCTTTAATTTTTCCTAATATATATTTTTAAAAACGAAGTGCCGAATTGTCTTGGTCCCGAAATGTCTGGATCCCGGAAGACATGGACTTGGGTGCCGATTTGTCTGGGTGCCAAATTGTCTTGTTACCCCAGAGGGACAGGTATACCTCCATATGTTTAATTATGCAACTTACAAGCTTTTAATATTATATACCTACAGTGGAGTCCCCGGTGTCTGCGCGGCCGGTGATATAGCGCATTAGCTGATTTCATCATATCAACACAGTAACACAAATAAAATCGTTCTTGTTATTGTTTTAGCCTTCCAAAGGGATAAAAAAAGAATAAAATTGAGTTCAAGAGTTAATTAATTACTGCAATCCCGGGATTTACAATATTTGGCCAATTTCCATTAAAAAAAATTACATCATCAGATTGAATTTGTTTTAATTTAGTCAAATTTAAGTTTGTCTCAACCAAATTTTATTAAACTTATACACAATACTTATTACCACAAAACTCAGATCAAGTTTGAAATATGGTGGTGTCGCTTTAACTGTTCTAGAGTTATGCCCCTTTACTAATAGAAAAATTGCCGAATTTTTCGTTTCCATTCTCTAACTGAAGTTTGCCTTAACCAAATGTTATGAAACTTATACACAATGCTTATTACCACAAAATACAGATCAAGTTTGAAATATTGTGGCGTCACTTTAACCGTTCTAGAGGTATGCCCCTTTACAAATGGAAAAATTGCTGAATTTTTCATTTCCGTTCTCTAACTTTAATTTGCCTCAACCAAATGTTATGAAACTTATACACAATGCTTATTACCACAAAATACAGATCAAGTTTGAAATATGGTGGCGTCACTTTAACCGTTCTAGAGTTATGCCCCTTTACAAATGGAAAAATTGCTGAATTTTTCGTTTGCTCTCTAACTTAAGTTTGCCTCAACCAAATGTTATGAAACTTATACACAATGCTTATTACCACAAAATACAGATCAAGTTTGAAATATGGTGGCGTCACTTTAACTGTTCTAGAGTTATTCCCCTTTACAAATTTTTTCGTTTCCATTCTCTAACTTAAGTTTGCCTCAACCAAATTTTTATTAAACTTATACACAATACTTATTACCACAAAACTCAGATCAAGTGCAAATTTGGGTAGGGTCACTTTTACCGTTCTTCAGATATGTCCGTTATAATTTATATGATATGCAAGCGGGGCATCATCTGTGTCCCATGGACACATTCCATGTTTATAAGGCAGTTAAGCTGCCTTATGCGAGCACCCTAGATTTGTGTTCTACCCAATAAATGCTGAAATATGTGCCATTGTTATTATCTAGCTGGCTATTATGTTATTTATAACTAATTGGACATGTTTTTAATACTTTTATTTCTGGAATACAAAAAATATGACCAGAAAAACCTTAAATGATCGTCGAACTACCCAAAACTTTTGAAGTTACACATAGGAAGTAGTGCTCAATAGAAATCCGTACGTAGTTTATTATCCCCAGTGCTTTTGGCTACGATGTCAAAGAACAATTGTATGAAATATTTCATCGCCGAAAATCGGTAATTACAAGTTGTTTATATTTCCCAAATGGCAAAATGCGCAGGAATATTGTTCATGTACAACAAATCTCTATGATAGAGGAAATACAGTTACATAAGTGGGCGGTAATTTTTAACTTATCTTGCCAAATAAGGTTGTTGTTATTTTATGAATGAAAAGAGGTCATGAAACAGATGCGGAAATCGACGTTGATGGGATGTTTTAAGTAATGTGGACAACTAGTCCCCGAGACAAGTCGGACCGAATCCACTCAAACCGTCTAAGAAGACAACTTTGACCGTTTGTCAGATTTACTAAGGGTTTCATAAAATATTAGACTAACATGTCTAGCGGAGCCATTAATCTTTTGTTTGTGCATTGGGGTCTATTTAGGGGTATTTGGAGGGGCCAGAAGAAGGGAGGGGTTTACTATAGAACCCTAAGTGATTTTATTTTTTAAAATTTTCAAATGACTATTTCTCGAAAACAGTAAGTGATAGACACATGCAGTCTTCAAGAACTCGTTGGAGTGTCAAGAACTCGTTGGAAGTACTTGATAAATTGCATGCATATATTGGTGATTTTGAATCTGTTCAAAGTTTTGATTTTTCTACCCTATATACCACATTGCCTCACATTCTCATTAAGAAAAAATTCACACACCTAATTAAATGGGCATTTAAAAAGTCAGAATGTGAATATATATGTTCAAACTCTTTTAGGTCATTTTTTAGTAGCAATAAACAAAAAAACTATGTCAATTGGACATGCTTTGATACTATATATGCCCTTGAATTTTTACTAGATAACATTTTTGTTCGCTTTGGAGATTCCGTATATCGTCAGGTTATCGGAATTCCAATGGGGACTAACTGTGCACCACTTATTGCGGACCTTTTTTTGTATTGCTATGAGTTACAATTTATGACAAAAATCAGTAAAGACCCATCGAAACAACATCTGATACACAAATTTAATAATACTTTTAGATATTTGGATGATATTTTGGCTCTCAATAATGACGACTTCAGTATGTATACTAAAGAAATTTATCCTGTTGAACTTACTTTAAATAAAGCTAATACTAACAATGACCACTGCCCTTTCCTCGATCTTGATATCTATATCATTAACGGAAAGCTTAATACTAAAATATATGATAAAAGAGATGATTTTTCATTTCCTATCGTTAATTATCCATTTTTAGATGGTGACGTTCCCTTGTCACCATCTTACGGTGTTTATATATCTCAACTTGTACGATTCGCTCGTGTATGTAACAATGTTTTAGATTTTAACGAGAGAAATTTATGTATTACTGAAAAATTATTACACCAGGGTTTTCGATATCACAAACTAGTCAAAACATTTACTAAATTTTATCATCGGTATAAGGACATCATTCGTAAATATAGCTCAACATGCAGACTTCTTATACGTTCAGGTATTTCACATCCATTTTTTTATGGAAATATTCTTTATAAAGCACAAAAATGTCAGTATTCACCTCTGAAACTAACAAAACCTTTAAATAGACTTATTAAGAAGGGATATAGTTACGATACTGTTGTCAGGTCATTAAAGATTGCATATTTTGGCGTTAATATTGATTCACTTATAGGGTCTTTGCATCGGCACTAAACACATTTATTTAAAAACCAGTTGTTGGCATGACACGGGTTATGTTCTTCTCATATATGTTATGATGGTATGATACTAAACCCCTAACGGGAAGGATTGTGTCTGATATTCATATGATGAAGACATAATCTTTCAATCAGTTTAATTGAAGTTTGGAGCTGGCATGTCAGTTAACTGCTAGTAGTCTGTTGTTATTTATGTATTATTGTCATTTTGTTTATTTTCTTTGGTTACATCTTCTGACATCAGACTCGGACTTCTCTTGAACTGAATTTTAATGTGCGTATTGTTATGCGTTTACTTTTCTACATTGGCTAGAGGTATAGGGGGAGGGTTGAGATCTCATAAACATGTTTAACCCCGCCGCATTTTTGCGCCTGTCCCAAGTCAGGAGCCTCTAGCCTTTGTTAGTCTTGTATTATTTTTAATTTTAGTTTCTTGTGTACAATTTGGAGTTTAGTATGGCGTTCATTATCACTGAACTAGTATATATATTTGTTTAGGGGCCAGCTGAAGGACGCCTCCGGGTGCGGGAATTTCTCGCTGCATTGAAGACCTGTTGGTGGCCTTCTGCTGTTGTCTGTTCTGTGGTCGGGTTGTTGTCTCTTTGACACATTCCCCATTTCCATTCTCAATTTTATTCAGTAATGAGAACAGGACAATAAAAAAAAATCAACCAAAATATAGGTTGAGTCTCTGGGGGTCATCCCAACCCCCTTCAATTTGAAAATGTACTTTTATCTTGTAAACCGTCGCGATCCCCACCCCTAAACAATACATATACTTGTATGGGACAATAAAAGAAATCAAATGACAACAATTTGGGGGAGTCCCCGGTGTCGTCCCACCCCCTCCTGTTTGAGAACTTGGAAATGGTCGAGATCCCCAACCCTAAACCATATATATTCATGTATGGGACAATAAAACAAATCAAATGAAATATAGGGGAGTCCCTGGGGTCACCCCACCCTCTCCTGTTTGAGAACTTGTAAACGGTCGAGATCCCCATCCCTAAACCATATATATTCATGTATGGGACAATATAACAAATCAAATGAAATATATGGGGAGTCCCTTGGGTCACCCCAACCCCTCCTGTTTGAGAACTTGGAAATGGTTGAGATCCCCACCCCTAAACCATATACATTCATGTATGGGACAATAAAACAAATCAAATGAAATATAGGGGGAGTCCCTGGGGACACCCCACCCCCTCCTGTTTGAGAACTTGTAAACAGTCAAGATCCCGACATAGCAGTATATACTTTCCATTTCCTTCCCAGTTGTGTGTCAAAGATTGTTATTTGTGTGCTCATGTATAACATGTATAATGAAAATCATAAAATATTTTTATTTGATACTTTCAGATAAATGGAACCAGAAAAGTACTTATGAATATGATTAAACAATAATCTGGTTACCTGCATTACATGTATTATGATGGTTAAGTCTAAGGAGCTGTAATGCCAGACATACGCATATCACCAAGAGGTGTTGCTTGCCCTTGGTTGTCATGGATACGATGGTCACGTTTGATTGGTCTGTTTTTATTATGCCTGTTCATGGTTGCAGTGATCAGCCATGTTTACCTGACAGATATAAATAGTGACCCTACAGATGGACAGAAATTACGTATACCATTGCAAACAGACGAGGACGAATCACAGATCAAAAGATTGAATCAAGAAATCAAAAGTCTACGAAAAATCAAAGCCTCCGTTAATAATGAATTACGAGATATGGAGAGTAAAAGACAAAAATTACAGTCTCAGATATCAGGGTACCAGAAGCAGGTAAGAAATTATGACGGATCGATTGAATAGGTAAAAGAGGCTGGTAGCCATAAACTTACCATAGTTAATGATTTTGGGCCCTGTTTTTGAATTGGTCTATTTTAAGGTCTAAAGGGTTATGTGAGGGTCCAAAATTAAACTTTGGTTGATTTGATCAAAAATTGAATTATTGGTGTTCTTTGATATGCTGAATATAACGGTGTATTTAGATTTTTAATTTTGGGGCCTGTCTTCAAATTGGTCCACATTTAGGTCCAAAGGGTCCAAAGTTAAACTTTATTTGATTTAAAAAAAATTTAATTCTTGGGGTACTTTGATAAGCTGAATCTAAGCATGTATTTATAATAGACTTGATCTACATATATATACAGGCCATAATCTTGCCGGCGACATGACGATTTAAGTCGCCAAAGACTTTGAAAATCGCTAAATCTCGCCGGCCGACTGACTTCATAGCGAAGTCAAATCGCTATCAAAATCGGTAAAAGGGAGACAACTTTTGATTGACAAGTCTCACAGGTAAAAAAAATGGCGGTTGATAGGGAAAATCGAGATTTTCGAAACGACCCAGGATTTATACTGTAAACGATCAAATTAAATAAATACAACGACGACTTTGAACATCCTCGGATATAACTTTCAAAACTGTTCAAACGGAAAACTGACCGTCTGTTTAAGTTATCGTTTTACGATGATTTTCATCTGAGGATGTTGCGTAATCACTCAGCTGATTTGTTTTATTTTTATTACCTACACGAGTCGATCAATTTTACTATTCGGTAGGTAAAGGGTGGAAATTAACGGTAGATTTATTATATTCATTGAATAAAAATTGAAATATAAAAGGTAGAAAGACAGCTGATGGATAATGTGATTGCAAACGTACGACACTCGACCAGATTGTGATCAGCAGTGGATTTTTTCTCATGACCTCTTCGTTGATATGGATGATATTTTTAAAAAATGATAGAAATTAGCTCTTTATCGGATAATTAACTTGAGATTGAAAGATATTTCATTTATAGACTTACAATCTTTAACGATAATCTCAATTTACTACAACTAACATAAATGTCCTGGACATTCAATAATGTTTTACAAAACAATGACAAGTGGTGATATAAATTAAATTCCCAGTCATGTGAAATTCATCATATTTTTCTGGAGTTTTAAAAAATAAATTGAGGCAGGTGCACATGAATTTAATGCATCATAATCTTGATAATATTACTAGACTACTCCCTCATGTCCCAATCAACAAACTTTATTTAGAACACATTCTGGTATCAATAAATAAATAACAACTATATATTGTCTAAACCTTTTTATTAAGAACTTTCTATATATACATTGTGTACAATAACATATGAAAAAACTGCAAGTACATCTTTTATTGAATATAAAACAATTTCCTTAGTGATAAGCTTGAAAACACGATGCAACCGAAACGGTAATGGAATCTCACTTCTCCAAGAAGTTGACCACTTCTCCCTTCTCTCTCATGGAAGGAGAAGTCACTTCTCCCTCTTCAAAATCCTAGATTAGGCCCTGATATATTTGTATAGTTTAACCAGAAATATGTTCTTTCATGTCAATCAGCAGTTAGAAACAGTATAGGAAGCTGCTGTCACCTAAATTTTGTTGATATCCTGTATATTCCTGAATAATCAATATGGCTTCATAAGTCTTCAGGGTTAATCACAGGTGAAGCAATTCAATAAGACCTGTACCAATACCATCAGATTTGTAACAATTTTATGTACAGGGTTGTATACATGTAATCTATTCTGAACAAAAAAATTGTACCTAGGAATACATTGTATATATAGAAAACCTCTATATATAACTTGACATACTATATTGGCACCTGTCTGTTGTTGAAGGACGTTTGTTGACCTCTAGATGTCATTAGCATTTTTTGGTTGTTTGGTTGCTGTCTCACTGACTCTTACCCCATATCTTTATGATCTCCTTTTCTTTACACTGAACACACATGTATACATAGCTTTTGAAACAAATGCAACAGGATTTTTTTTTTTTTTTCAAATCTTTGGAGAAATCTGCAAGCAAAAGCAGACTTCCATTGAATTAAAAGTCAAATGTGTTGAACCACCTGTCATTTAATACATGTAATAATGTTTTGTTCAGTCTTCAATTGATTACAGAATAGGGAAAATTGGGTAAAAAGTGCAAAATAAAAGGCAAAAATATAAAGAATATGTAGAGAAAATAGGCCAGAAAGTAAAGAATAGAGAATAATGGGATGCTTAAATATAAAAGATAGAGATTAATCGGGTGTTGAAATAAAAAGAATAGAGAATAATGGTGAAAATAAATATAAAATAGAGAAAAGGTGTCTAAAAAGTTAAAAGAATAAAGAATTGAAGGTCCCCTCTCCCCCTCAAGAGCCTCATATATATCAAAATGAAGTTTTGTTTTGCAGATTGATATTCTCAGCGCACAGATAGAAACTTCTGAGAAGGAAATTAAATCAACACAGTTAACATTAGAACAGTTGAGATTAGAAAAATCAGAGATGGACAAACAATATCTACCAATTTTGAAAGCACCAATCAAAATGTTAATGGGAGAGAATTCCAACGTTAAACTCCCTATGCCATTTAATGGACAGCGTTGTAAAATGCATTCATGCTTTGATTTCTCACGCTGTTCGGTTTTCTCTGGATTTCCTGTCTATTTCTATGATTCAGAAAAAGATTTAAATATTGGAGAGTTAGTTCCCTTTGTCAAGAATGGTATTGATGTGTACTTTGAAGAAAATCTTTACCGAACTTTTGATCCAAGTACAGCTTGTATATTTGTTGCCATAGTTGGACAACAAATTAATAGAATCACGTATTCAGGATTAGAGAAATCCTTAGAAAAATTACCATTTTGGCATGGTGATGGCAGAAACCACATTTTAATCAATTTAATGAGAGACGAGAATGCAGATATTGACATTTTTGATGGAGCTAATACAGGCAGAGCAATAATCGTGCAGTCTCCTTTTGTAAAAACTATATTTAGATCAGAGTTTGATATTGTAATTCCACCTAACATTGGAAAGGCATCTGGAGATGTCTGGGAAGAACTACCACCTATATCACCGATTCGAAGGAAATATTTTTTGTCTTTCATAGGTAGCTTTAAGGGAAATGTGCAATTTCAGAATGGTGAACAAACTGATGAACAAATCTCTAATGTAGAGGACTCTGTGATTTCATTTCTAAAGAATATTCAGTTGAAATTAGACCCAGAAATATTTATAAAATTTTCATGTGACACAATTATTCCTGGTGCTATAAACGGTGAATATTCTATGTGCCAAAGGGATGAAAGTCGTCATGAACTTTTAAAACATTCAACATTTGCATTAATTATCTCCCCTGCAAATGAAAGCTATGTATCTACAAACATTTTTCAACTTCGGTTTTACGAGGCATTAAAATATGGTGCTATTCCAGTGATACTTGGAGATCATGTGACATTACCTTATATGGAAATACTCGACTGGAAAAAGGCCACTGTGATTTTACCAAAGGCTCGGTTGACTGAGTTCCATTTTATTCTTCGAACATTTACAGATACAGCCATGGCAACAATGAGACGAACAGGCAGATATTATTTTGAAACTTATTTTTCATCAACTCAAAGTATTTTAGATACAGCTTTAGCTTTAATTAGAACTAGATTAAATATTCCACCTGCTCCAATCGTCGACATGAAATCTCCTAGTGTGTTTGAGAACAATTCATATGTAGACTATAAGTATGAGGAAGTAAATCCAGAGAATGATGAGATTTTAGGACCTCTAGAAGCGGTTTTCCCCTCAGTTAAATTTAGTAACAATTTTACACAAAATGTATTTTATCACAAGTTTACACAAACAGGAGATCCTTTCAGGAACTACCCATTTACGCCATTTGAACATGTTTTACCATCAGAGTCAAAATTTATTGGTAAGTTTTGTGTAAAATGTAAGGTTAATAAGATTTAAAGGAGAGGCAGTAAAATAGCAATACAACATAGCAAACTGTGATAAATCGCCACAAAGAGTGATACGTACCTAAATGGTCTAGTTTGAATTGGTACTGTACATTTGTTATATCTGATAATTGATCAAAAGTTATACTGAAATGATCAGGACTTACAAGTACTTTTTCTTAAAAGATTTTTTGTGAAAAGAATTGGTACATTTACTATGTCTGATTATTGCTATATACTGGAAAAGAGAGACGAAAGATACCAAAGTCACATAAACAAACTGACAACGCCATGGCAGAAGACAAAGAATGCCCATGGCCAAAAGACAAAAGAACAGTATACAAAGCAGAACATAGAAAACTAAAGACTGAGCAACACAAACCCCACCAAAAACCGGGGGTGATCTCAGGTGCTTCAGAAGGGTAAGCAGATCCTCCTTCTCATGTGGCATCCATTATGTTGCTCATGTAAGTACAAACCCTGTGATGTCACATGTCTAATTTGGTAGGTAACATTCAAGGAAAAGAGGATAGGATCGTTTTTATCTGTGAAACAGATATTCCATAATAGTCAACCAACTGGTGATGGCATTTTGACATTTCTTGCATGTATTGAGATTACTACCATGACCATGAAAAAGATACATGTACATAAAAGATCTATATCAAAATGTTTGAAGCAATTTCCATAAGACCAAGAATTTTATATTGCTGAAAGCAATGTGACTTCATTTTTTTCAATTTGGATGAAACATGTAAACATGGTAAAGAAAAAGAATAAGAACATGAACATGATGAAAAATCTTTAATTTCATACAGCACCATGCATGCCATGTATGTGTTGTAAGTTTATGTATAATTAGTATAGATCTATGCTTTACTTTTATGTTAGGTTCTGGTTATGGCTTTAGACCTATAGGTAAAGGAGAAGGTGGAGCAGGGAAGGAGTTTAGTGAAGCTCTTGGAGGCAACTTGCCGAGGGAACAGTTCACATGTAAGTATAAATGACAGGGAAAGAATTTATTGACTTTGAAAGTTTTGCTTAGTTTACATGTATTAGTTTGTGATTAGGTCATTTTATTGGGAACCACTAGTGGTAGGTCAATGATATTTGGTATGCAGTTGTATAAGCATTGGCATATCTCATTTCCATGGAGATTATTTGGCTCCGCCACCTCAGTCATGGTCTATTGACTTTGAAACTTTTGCTTAGTTTACATGTACCGTCTTTTGGTATGTATAAAACACACCCATGCATAGTACGCACCCCCCTTTTCACCATTGAAACTTGAGAAAAAAAGTTTCTTCTCATGCTTTTCACGCAAAGTCCCCCCAAGACTTTCTGGAAAAATCCCAACTTGAAACTCGGTAAAATGCATCCATTGAAAATGATTTCTTTATCTGGGACAAATTGAACTCCAGTCCTGGTTGATTACAGGATAAAGAAAACATTGTTGCAGAATAAATAACTTGGCAAATGATGTTTGATTCTTTATTGTTTCCATGGATGTGTTTGATTGAGAACAACAGGAAGTGTAAATCGGGGAGTTGTTTAAATGCAAATCGTAATAGTGAATCTTGTACGGAATACGGATTCATTACTAGTATTCTTTAATACACAATAAATAGATAAATTGTAATATTAATGTTGATAAATTTGTGCTAAAATAAATATTAATCTCTTCTTATTTCATTTATTGTTTGTTAGTCATTAAATCCAATTATCACACTGTTATTGATAATCAATTAGGAAGTCTAATCGTTGTCAAAACAAATCAATTGACAGGTTCACTTTGTTCCTCAATCAAATAAGTACAGGTATTAAAAAGGCATTTTGAAAGCATGCTTACAATTTATGATTTGTATGAAGGTTTTTAAAGAGGATTTTAAAATGTCACAAAGTAAAAACGTATAACATCATCACTTTATTCAACTTCATAATGTTAAAGTCACATGACGTGTTCACCTGATACTACGAAAGTAAAAAAACAATGGCGGTCATTATCATCAAACAGGCATGTTTCATTCAATTTTCATACATTCACCTTCTGTATTCCTTGTTAGAACATATCAAAAGTAAGATATAGATAATCACCTACACTTATTTGGCCATTGACACAATCATCTCTTATTGGGATATGACCAAATACAACTTCTGGGCGGCAACATCGAACAGACACTAGAAAACTCAAAAAACATAACTACTAAAGCATTTAAATGATTTTTATTTGCATATTACATTACAAATCATATACTAGAAGGTACAAATATACTTTTTAAACATAACAACAATCAATTTGTTTTGCTACGAAAATATTTTCTTCCTGACCACGTGGTTTCATGGCCGAGTTTCATACCTGAAAAAAAGTCTTAAAATCAACGTATGCATGGATAATGCACACCCCCTTCTAAGAAATCTATCCCAGGGTAAAAATCTGTGTACTATACACACCTTAAGACGGTATTAGTTTGTGATTAGGTCAGTTCAAGGGGAACCATTAGTGGTAGGCCAATGATAATTGGTATGAAGTTGTATAAGCATAAGCACATCTCATTCCCATGGAGAATATTTGGCCCCGCCCCTTCAGTCATGGTTTATTGACTTTGAAACTTTTGCTTAGTTTACATGTATAAGTTTGTGATTAGTTCAGTTTAAGATGAATTCGAACCACTAATGTTAAGTCAATGACATTCTGTATGCAAATTGATTGGCATTTGCAAGTCTTGTTTCCATGGAGATTATATAGCCCCACCCTCTCATCATTGTGCATTGACTTTGAAACTTTTACATATTTTACAAGTTAATGTTTGTGTTTAGGTTTGTTTGAGGGTATGACTTATGATAAGTCAATGGTATTTGGTATGCGGTTATATTAACATTGGCACATCACATTTCCATGGAGATTGTTTAGCCATGTACCTTCAGTCATGGTTCATTGATTTTGAATATTTGCATAACTTACATGTTAAAGTATTGCTATTTTAATTTCACCATTTGCATTATCAAAATTACAAAAAGGCGAGACATATCTCTGTGTTAACAGTTTATTATAAATTCTTACATTAAAATGCTAAGTAAATTGTGCCTTATTACCCTATTTCATTGTCTGGTGTACCTCCAAATACAAGATCAGATCGTCAATTTAATTGGAAAAATACACAATTATTACATACCATGCATACCAATTGTATATATCAGTCTGTAAAGCTGAAAAAGATGTTGAGAAAAATTCTTATACTTGTTTGCTTTATAAATGATGTCAACATTAGAAAGATTGATGCAAAACTCCACTTTTTAAATTCCTGTAAGCTGAAGTCATTTACTTGTTGAACATTTCATCTTAATCGTAATTGAAAAAAAGGTAGTCTCACATTGCTTTCAGCAATAACAAATGTCTTGGTTTTAAAGCTATGTTCATGATTTATGATTTGATGTTTTTCATTAAATGGTACACAATGGTAAAAGGATTAAAAGAATCAATCTCTTTTATCATGTTTATTGAAAATATTTTTTTTTATTATATGACAATATGTCTATATTTGTTTTTTTAGTGGTAATGTTGACATATGAAAGATCTAATGTGTTGATAACAGCTCTACAGAGATTGAAAGGTTTACCATTCCTTAATAAAGCAGTAGTTGTGTGGAATAACCCAGCTCCACCTACCTCAGACCTTAAATGGCCAGATATAGGTGTTCCTATACATGTAAGTAAAGCAGTGGTAGTGTGGAATAACCCAGCTCCACCTACCTCAGACCTTAAATGGCCAGATATAGGTGTTCCTATACATGTAAGTAAAGCAGTAGTAGTGTGGAATAACCCAGCTCCACCTACCTCAGACCTTAAATGGCCAGATATAGGTGCTCCTATACATGTAAGTAAAGCAGTAGTAGTGTGGAATAACCCAGCTCCACCTACCTCAGACCTTAAATGGCCAGATATAGGTGTTCCTATACATGTAAGTAAAGCAGTAGTTGTGTGGAATAACCCAGCTCCACCTACCTCAGACCTTAAATGGTCAGATATAGGTGTTCCTATACATGTAAGTAAAGCAGTAGTAGTGTGGAATAACCCAGCTACACCTACCTCAGATCTTAAATGGCCAGATATAGGTGTTCCTATACATGTAAGCATAGGACTCAACTAAATATGAACAAAAATAGTTGTGAGATACACCAAACGGACATCGACCTTAGAACACATAGAGACATCTAGAGATATTAAGGATGTTTGCTCCTGTTTCAAAATAACAAGCTTTTTAAAAGACCATTATGAATTGATAGTTTATAAATAACGGTACTTAAAAAGCAGAAAAAAAATTATATGTCCGTGTCCTTGTTTTTGATATAATCATTTGAAAATTTGGCAGGAAGTGATTCTCTTTAGACTTTTCATACATTTAACATTGGCTCCTTTTCTCTCTCTCAAAAACTATGAAAAAATAACAAGGATTTTATAAGATTTAAAAAAATGGCTTTTTAAACTACATGTTATAAAATTATGAAAAGAAAAGTAGTGGTTAGCGGGTTAAAATTTTTATTGGCACTACATGAGTAAAACTAGAGGATTCTGAATGTCTGACAAAAAGTCAAAAACAAGAGTAGCGAACATCCTTAGCTAAAGGGAATGTGGAGTAAAAGTGATTGAAACAGGAAGTAACCCAATTAAACAATAACTGAAAGATATATAAAGGTCAACATAGTATTCAACCAAAGTCATTTGTTTATACAACATGTCAAACAGTTTATCACCAAGGTGACAAGAGTCTAGAAAAATAGTGAATATATATGACAGAGGCTACCAAAGATCTGTTATCAACACCTACTTCCTACAATGAGAAAAACACATTATTATGTATATGACAAAAGACACCACTAACAATTTTTGGGACAGTAACATGAATATATGGCTTAGTTTAATTATTTGTTTTTAAATCTGCATCCTCCCCCTTTTTATCTCAATCAGTGGTCTAACAATAGGTACATAAAACAAAACACAATAAAAAAAAGACAGGAAAAGTACTTAAATCTAAAATAATGGTCATGAAAGAAGCAGAGCATAATTTGTAAGATTATTCCAACTTGATAAAATTGGCGGCTTACAATTGGCTATTTGGAATGCTGTACTTATTCAAAAGGAGACTAATGATATGAAGCAAAGTTTTGTGATGTAAAGTACAATAAGTTTGAATGAGTATTTTGTATTGATTTTACATCAGTGCAACATGGCTAAATCATGAAGTTGTACAAATAGAGAATTTGAGTTGTCTGCCCTTTTTTGCAAACATGATATTAATGAAGTAATTTAATGTGTGTCTTACAACTATCAGTAATGTTACCGTCTGCAAAATAAAAGGGAATTCTAGTCAAACCAGTTCAAAGATTTTATTTTGATTCAAACAGGTATATACTGTAAATTCAGGAATTGTTGCAATGCTTTTATTAATGCGAAAAATGCGACATTATCAGGTTTACAATAATAAAAACTTGCATTTATAATTTCAGTAATGATTTTTCTTCACAAAAGTTTCATAATCGCATTTATAATATCTCGCATTTTCACTAGTACATTGTAATCAGTTGGTTGGAATAAATAAATGCACCCATTATTTTCAGAATTTACAGTATTAGGATGTAGATACTGCACCACATTTTTTAGGTTATTTAGAATAGACAGAAAAAATGGTACAGTCATTCTAAATTCCTTTTTAAGGAGTAAATCATGAAAAAACGTTGATGACATCACAGTCAATTGACAAAATTATGTCTACGAGCTAATAGACAAAAAACTTTCAGCCAATTAGTAGACTTGTTACATCCAAAATTAGATTATTAGGATGTAGATAGAAAGGTAGACATGTCTGACCATAAGAAAACTTGTTTCTTTAATGGGTTGTTAAGATTTTATAGACTTGTGTTGTTGGTTTGATGTCTTGGGGTTAAAGCAAACAAACAACTATTAAACTACCGTACATGCTTTTGTACATTATTAGGTTATCAAAACAACAAAGAACAGCCTAAATAACCGATTCCTGCCCTATGACGTGATAGAAACAGAGGCTATACTCAGTATAGATGATGATGCTCACTTAAGACATGATGAGATTGTTTTTGGCTTCAGGTGAGACTTTCCATAATTTGGTATCTATGTTAGAAGTGGAGGTTGTATCATGTAACAGGGAAGTATTTACTGCATATGAGTTTACACATGATTTCAGGCATAAAATTAGTTATTTTGAAAGTAACTATGTTATTGATTCACTCGCATTTATGTTCTCCTGAAGTGCCATAAACATGAACTGGAAACAATTTTCAAATATCAACTAAACTGCTCTCATGGTAGCTCCCCCAGAGTTCAAAAAGTAGTGGGTTTTATCCTTAGTGGTTTAAACCAAAGACTTTGAAATTTGTTGTTGCTGCTTCAATTTTCACTAAGCTTGTGACATTTAGAAGTAAGAGCAAAGACTGGTCTAGATCTGCATAGAGTCAGAATAATGTGTCCAGGTAGGGTGACATGTCTTCCTGTGGATTGGTAACTTGTAAACTAGCATATCTATCTTGTGTACAAACAGGTACATTGTATTTATAATGTGTCATAGATTAAATTTATTTGTTCAGTGTATGTTTACTTGTTTTTGTTAATATGTCTTTTTGATCGAGTTAAGCCATTTCAATTGATATTTTATAGTGTGTCTTTCTATGTTGTAATGTTACACTACTGTTTCAGGTTAGGGTGAAGGTTGGCGCCTGTTAAAACGTTTAAACCTGCTGCATTTGTTTGCACCTATCCTAAGTCAGGAACCTGTTGTTCAGTGGTTGTCGTTTGTTGATGTGGTTCATAAGTGTTTCTCTTTTTTCGTTTTTGTCTCGCCTTGACGGAGTCAAAAAGGGAGACATAGGTATGCTGTTTGCGGCATTGGCGATGACGACGGCGGCGGCGGCCTCAATAATGTATTAGTTTGTAATTAGGTCTAGTTCATGGTGAACCACTAGTGGTAGGTCAATGATATTTGGTATGCAGTTGTAATGGCATTGGCACATCTCATTACCATGGAGAATATTTGGCCCCGCCCCCTCAGTCAAGGTCTATTGACTTTGAAACTTTGCTTAGTTTACATGTATTAGTTTGTGATTAGGTCAGTTTATAGGGAACCACTAGTGGTAGGTCAATGATATTTGGTATGCAGTTGTATAAGCATTGGCATATCTCATTTCCATAGAGATTATTTGACCCTGCCCCCTCATTCATGGTCTATTGACTTTGAAACTTTTGCTAAGTTTTCATGTATTAGTTTGTGATTAGGTCAGTTTAAGGGAAACCGTTAGTGGTAGGTCAATGATAATTGGTATGCAGTTGTATAAGCATTAGCACATCTCATTTCCATGGAGAATATTTGGTCCCTACCCCTCAGTCATGGTCTATTGACTTTGAAACTTTTGCTTAGTTTACATGTATTAGTTTGTGATTAGTTCAGTTTAAGATGAACCACTAATGTTATTAAAGTCAATGATATCGGTGTTCAAATGTATTGGCATTTGCAAGTTTCATTTCCATGGAGATTATATAACCCCACCCCCTAATTATGGTTCATTGACTTTGAAACTTTTACATAGTTTACAAGTTAATGTTTGTGTTTAGGTTTGTTTAAAGGGAACAACTTTAATATGAAAAGTCAATGGTATTTGGTTTGCAGTTGTATTAACATTGGCACATCTCATTTCCATGGAGATTGTTTAGCCCTGTACCTTCAGTCATGGTTCATTGACTTTGAATATTTGCATAACTTACATGTTAAAGTATTGCTATTTTAATTTCAGCATTTGCATTATCAAAATAACAAACAGGCGAGACATATCCCTGCGTTAACAGTTTATTTATATACATTAGACCATTGGTTTTCCTGTTTGAATTGTTTTACACTAGTCATTTTGGGGCCCTTTATAGCTTGCTGTTCAGTGTGAGCCGAGGCTCCGTGTTGAAGGCCGTACTTTGACCTATAATTGTTAACTTTTTACACATTGTGACTTGGATGGAGTGTTGTCTCATTGGCACTCATACCACATCATCTTATTTCTACATATTCATAATTCATATCACATCTAGACATGTTTTCATCCTGAATATGCTTTTAATTTGCCATTTTATTTTAGAGCAAATCCGTCATCATCATATATGAACTGACCTTGAAAATTGAAATAATTTGTTTACCGGTATTTGTTATCTGAATTTAAATTTGTGGTTTGCTGGGACCAGCAAAATCACAAACATTTGTATCTCAGTAACGAGAAATTAATTCAAAGTACATTATTCGCTCTGACTGAGAATACTTGCCTGCAACACACTACTACTTATTAAGATTTATTAATTTTAATAAGTACAAAACAATTAAAAATTCGGAAGTGAAATTCCAAGGAAATCCTCCACTTGCGGTTAAGCAACCAACAATCAATCAATCAATCCAAGGAAATCCTGACCTATGAAGATAATGCTATTTTTAATTTGCTCTAATTTTAGGGTTTGGAGAGAAGAAAGAGACAGGATAGTTGGGTTTCCAGGGAGATTTCATGCCTGGGATGTGAAAAACAATGCCTGGTTATATAACTCTAATTATTCCTGTGAACTTTCTATGGTTCTTACAGGAGCAGCATTCTTCCATAAGGTCAGCTGACAGAAAAACACTTTGTTCAAACTTAAGGTGGTACCAAACACCTTGACTAGAATTAATTTGGCTCATTTAATTTTCATAAAATTTTGACAAAATATTTACTTTGACCCTTTGACAATGTTTGACATGAATATAAAAATTTCAAAAAACTTGAATCACACACTTGATCGGAAAAATTTCATTGGATATATAGCAGTTTGACAAACACTAATTTTGATCATTGAGAAGCTTAATATTTCCTTAACAATAGAACTTGATTAAAAAGTTCAGCTGATTTTTAAAGAGTTATCTCCCTGTAGTGTTATGTACCACCTTAATGTGAAATCTACATTTATAACCTTTATAAACAGAAATAACTTTGTTCATCAACTGAGTTGTTTTCTGTTAGATTTTGTTTGTATTGGCAAACATATGGTCACTATTAAAGTAATACATGGTTCTGTTTAAAAAAATCTATATCAGCAAATCTTTTGTTACAGCTAAAATTAGCACCATAAGAAAAAAATTACTACCGGTATACTTTAAATAGACATACATGGTCTGTGTAAAAAAGTTTGATTTAAACAGAAATATTTTAACAAATATTGTGTAATGACTAGAATTAGCACTCCATTAAATAATCTGCTTTACTGTAACCATGGCAATTGATAGTCTATTTAGATTAACACTATGGATTATGATTGACAGAGGAAGAAACTATTTCATAATGTTTTTGGGTAAAGATTGCGTGAAATGCAATCAAAACCCTATGGTACTGACTTGATATTTAAATATTCCAAGTTTTATCACTACCTTTGATAGTTAAAACAAAATAGTGCAGTCAAGTGATCTGAGTGTCCTTTCCCAGTTTTGTGCCAAATACAAAAGAGTTTATATTTTTCTGACATTGACCTAATGTTGTTTTTATACTGCAAGTTTGCAACTCAAATTAAAACATTGATAGCTATTTAAATTGTATTTTCATCCCTAAATGAACCCCTGATTGTGGAAAAAGTGATCCATGATGAAACTGACATTGCACAAAATATAGCTTTGTTAGTATATTTAGGAATTTAACACAACTAGTTGTAGTATAAACTTTGAGACAATTGTATCGGTATATAACATGTATGAATAAAAGAAGATGTGGAATCATGTAGGCCAAAAGAAAAAATGCTTGTGTTTAGGGTGGATAAATCATGACTAGATTGATAGTTTTCTCCACAGATCAAAGTCATCCTAAACATGCATGAAATATTTTACCACTGGACATTAAGCAACCAACAATCAATCAATCCTTATACCAAAGGGTAAACTAATCCAGCAAACTGAAAAGAAAATTCCTACCTCCTACTTACCCTTTCCTTCCATAAAAAGAGGAAACCCTAATTTTTGGCCTAAAGAAACTGAAATAAAGGCATGTATTTTTCTCGGTTTCAGTATTATGCCTACATGTACAGCTATGTAATGCCAGCAGCTATTAGGGAGAAAGTGAATGAGTATGTTAACTGTGAAGATATAGCCATGAACTTCTTAGTATCACATATCACTAGGAAACCTCCAGTCAAGGTAAGGTCAAATGTCATTCATGTTATTAGCCTGTAGTCAAGGTAAGGTCAAATAAGTCAAAGGTCATTATAAGTATGATAACGGTGAAGATATAGCCATATCACTAGGAAACCTCCAGTCAAGGTAAGGTCAAATAAGTCAAAGGTCATTAATTGTTTTATTAGCCTCTAGTTAGTCAAAGGTCATTATTCATATTTTTATTCTCTTGTCAAGGTAAGGTCAAACAAGTCATAGGTCATTATTTATTTTATAAGCCTCTAGTCAAGGTAAGGTCAAATATGTCAGCTGTCAGTGCAGTTGCTTTTCATGTCAACACGGTGTTTCTTATTGTGCTTATTGATAAAAAGTTAATATGATTTGAACAGCTGCATTTTCGTTTAGAAATTGTTTCAAAACTATCTTTCACAATTTTGAAGCAACATCTACATTATCATGGTTTTATATTGTATCATACTTTTATTTAAATCCTGAATTCACATCAGTAACTTTTAAGAAAGAATGCCAAAAAAACTCTGATACTATAATTTGCAGTTCTTGGGACTAAAGGTATTTGGGAATATTTCTGAAGTTATCAGTAGCATTATTTAAACATTTACAGAATATTCAGAAGTACACAAATGTCAAGGATATAAATTTGATGTGGTGTATACATTGATGAGACAGTAACTAAATAACATTAAAAAAAGGACAAGAGACATTTAGAGGTGAACATATGATCTTCAACAATAAACAAGACAACATCTACTATCCTTTTCATTTTGAATTACTCGGTGGTCTTGTGGTATAGCATTCTTACCTCAAGTGCAGAATGTCATTGGTTTGAATCATGGTACAGTCAAACCATAGACTTGAAAATTGGTATTTGCTGCCTCTCAGCTATGCACATTTAGGAGTAAGAGCAAAGACTGGTCCAATGGAGTGACAATAATTTACCACCGTAGGGTGGCATGTCTTCAATCAGACTGTTACCTTGTGAACTTGGATGTTAAAAAATGGTCTCAGGATGCGGGGTTCATATTCAAATCAACATATTCCCATTCTGATATGCATGTTTTAGTTGCCATGGACTTTTAAGCACCAATCCATCATATTTTTTTTTCCAATTTGAATATCATTACTTTAATAACTGTATTAAAAGGAGGCTTTCTACAATAAATTGTTTTTATTTCAGGTGACATCACGATGGACATTCCGCTGCCCCGGCTGCCCACAGACATTATCAAATGACAGATCCCATTTTGAGGAAAGACATAAGTGTATTAACTTCTTTGTAAAAGTGTATGGTTATATGCCATTATTGTACACACAATACAGGGTCGACTCAGTTCTGTTTAAAACTAGGCTACCCCATGACAAACAGAAATGTTTTAAATTTATATAGTATTTATTTCCTATATGATTTTATATGATTTTAAGGTGGTACCCAACACCTTGACTAATATTAATTTGGCTCGTTTAATTTTCATAAAATTTTGACAAAATGTTTACTTTGACCCTTTGACAAAAATATAAAAATTTCAAAAAATTTGAACCAACCACTTTATCAGAAAAATTTCATTGGTTATATAGCAGTTTGACAAACACTAATTTTGATCATTGAGAAGCTTAATATTTCCTTAACAATACAACGTAATTAAAACATTTAGCTGAGTTATCTCCCTGTAGTGTTAGGTACCATCTTAACTTTAAATATCAAGTATAATGCGGATTCATTATAATTTGTGGGGTATCAATTTTAGTGGATATCAGTTAATCATATACTTAAGTGTTCAACAAAGTACAAATTTTGCAGACTGGCAAAACCATGAAATTAAATATTCATGAAAATTGGTATCCATGAAAATTGATATCCATGAAAATTGGTATCCATAAAAATTGGTACCCATGAAAATTGGTATCCATGAAAATTGATATCCATGAAAATTGGTATTTATGAAAATTGGTGTTCATGAAAATTGGTTCCCATGAAATTCACTATCTATGAAAATTGGGTATCCATGAAAATTGGTATCCATGAAAATTGGTATTCATGAAAATTGATATCCATGAACATTGGTATCCATGAAAATTGATATCCATGAAAATTGGTACCCATGAAAATTGGTATCCATGAAAATTGGTATTCATGAAAATTGGTGTTAATGAAAATTGGTTCCCATGAAATTCATTATCTATGAAAATTGGTATCCTTGAAAATTGGTATCCATGAAAATGGGTACCCATGAAAATTGATATCCATGAAAATTGGTATTCATGAAAATTGGTATTCATGAAAATATATGAATCCACAGTAGTTTAAACAGTTACAGAATTGAAATATGTTTTTTTACAGAAAAAAAAAATTCTTGTTGACCTCAAGTTTAAAAGACACAATTTTGCAATGTAATATTATTTATCTCGCAAAAAATACAATGTCTTTCTATCCATCAATAATGTGTACTAGCCATCTAGGCCATACCCATGAAATATTTAAAGTGATAACATTGTGTAATAGTTGATGCGAAGAAACTGTCTGAAATTGCTCAAAAACGATGTTTACAACAGATAAATAAAGAGTACAAATGAATGGTTACATTTTTTTAAAGATATCAGAACAGTCATCAAAACGGCATTTTTACTTTATTTTCAAAAATATAAATACATGTAATACCATTGAATATTTTTTTTGATATCTTTATATGAAAGATCAATTAATCATTTTATTTTTTTTTATTTCTAAACCTAACTTAAACTGGATTGAATATTGTGATAAAAATTCTATTTTGATATGACAATTAGAATGTTTTAATGTTAATTTATTGATTCATGGTCTTTTTTCCCCTATTTATTTCCTACTATTTTTTTTTTATGTAAAATAGGAGAGTTTTTTTATGCTTATTATTTTGCTTAATTTTGAAATGGTTTTGGTTGTTGTAAAATAGGTTTGCCTGCTACTGAAGTTCATTTGTCATTAGTTCAGTGCCATTTGTCTTTTACCTATTTTCTATGATTTTATAGATTTACTGATATTCAATATGATACAAATTTTCTATTAGATTGTATGCAGTATTTGTCGAAACCACAATTTCTAAAAAGTACATTTTTTTCTCAATGTATGAAAATTTGTTACAATGCAAATAAATCAAATAACAGAATTAATGTCTTTCTCTAAAATATTGTTTGAATATTTTTTACCTTATTTGTTGTATTGAGAATTTAAATGAAATGCACAATACTGCATGAGATTATGTATGAAAAAAGGTTAATTAAGAATTTACTTTTGAGGTTATCAAGATTTGAGAATTTTTAATATTTACCCAAAACCAAAAATGGATGTCATGGAAGTATAAACTTATTTGATGTGTTTCCATGGAGTTGTACTGTGTATGATCATTTATAAAGGTGTATTTTTTTTTTTTGTAAATGTTGTAATCACAAATGATAGTTTAAAATCATGTAAAACTGTAACCATGTCAATATAGGTTTGTCACAGAGAAAGCCAGTAGAATTATGTATTTAAAATCAGCATTTAATATGTTATATTTTCAAAGCTAATTATCTTAATCAGAAATTATAATTATAAATGTACTGAATCATTTTGTAATGAATGATTGATAATACTGTTTTTTGTTGAGTACTTTGGACTTTTCCATAAAGAAAAGATCATGATGTCTTTTATGGCACCTTTTCAGAAACTCTTCAACCTGAAGAATATATTCTTTTTTTAATTACTTTATTGTAAATGAATTTAAGATAATCAAAAAAGGCAAAACTGTATTGAATGGTTTGATACATAAGGTCCTACAGTTAAAAAAATGAAATCAAGGAATTGCCTATATAAAAGTTATAACTCCTGTTCCACCTTAAAAATGTTTGTAAATTTAGTAATGGAACACCCCTAATTTATGGATCAGTCCTAATTGAGAATTAGTGCACAGGGTTTTTAAATGTGAATTCCATTTGTGTTCAGATAAATGTTAAGTGCTATGCATGTGTCTGTGTGCTAATTAATTGTTTTATTCTGATATTATGTTTCAAGTATATATATATATTGTAGCTTTACTTGCCAACAGCATAATGATGTGCCAGTTTATTTTTTAAGGATTTATTTTAATTGTATGTTGACGTGTAGATCTGTTTGTGAATTTGTTTATTATTTTGTTTTTTGTTTTTTTTTCCTCTCCAAAATGTGCATGAAATATTATGAAATAAGCACAAAGCTGATATACTTATACTTTCATATAGATACCAGCCGATAAGAAGTTTTAAGAAATAAATTTTCACGTTTCATGTGATATTTTATTTTGACAAAATGTTTAGATTTTAGAACAAAATTGATTTCTTGAACTAAATTATGATCAATCGATAAAATAAGAATATATTAACATTCAATCAAAACATATAAGATTCATTTCACATGACTTTACAGAAATTTCAGATCCTTTTTTTTTCCAGTTCAAAAGTCTTTGAGAACTAAAAACTTAAAAGTTTTATCTCAAGTCTAATTTTAGCTCACTTGTCAGAAATGCTTTTAGAAAATTAAAAGAAAAATGGTGTCACCAAACTTTTTTCTGGCTTTAATACAAAATACTTTTTACTGTACATTATAAAATTAGATTAAATGACATATTCCTCTTCAAGGGCTCAAATGAAAATAAAGTAAATCAATTTAAAATATGTGGTATTCAGAAAATAGTTCTAATATTAAGATACAAGCATATAAATTTCCTCATTAAATGAAAAGGTATCCCTGCATCAAAATTTACCTATTTCTTTAATCATCTTGACCAATTGTTTCTGCTACTTAGAATCCAAGATGGAAGAAGACCCACCTACTGCTTGAATATGAAATTCATGACACTAAGGACAGTAAATAGCATTATGCATGAAAAATGTAATAAAAAAATTTATTATCACATGTAGAATTAATTCCAAACACATTTATATTGAATACATATATAGATTGTTTTTGGTTTTTTTTGTTGTTTAATTTATTTTCCATTTTAACAGGGCTAGATATGGTGGTAAAATTAGGTTGTTTTGTGTTAGACCACAATGTTTTTGTTTTATTGGTAAAAAGTTTTAAAAAATTGTCAAGCATTATTCATTTTATTTACTGTCTCATATATTGGCCAGTTACAACAATATATAGTTTATATTATACAACTGTGTATATCCTCTTTGTTAAATTTCAACTCTTAATCAAATTATTGTTCATGAAAATATATATTTGACTGAATGTATGTACAAGAATCCTCCAAGATTTTTTTAACCAGTAGCATTTCTTTCCTTTTCTAATTTCTGTTTTTTTTAAGCCAAAAATTTTTAACTCAACTGTTGATTATTCTTTCTTTAAAAACTAAAAAAATTTGTAAAATGGAAAAATTAACAAATTGAAAATATATATCATAGTGGTATATAGCTTTGCTAGTTTTTATACGACCGCAAAAAATTTTTTGTGGTCGTATATTGGTATGACGTTGGCGTCGTCGTCGTCGTCGTCGTCGTCGTCGTCCGGCATCGTCCGAAGACACATTGGTTTTCGCACTCTAACTTTAGTTTAAGTCAATGGATCTCTATGAAATTTTACCATAAGGTTCAATACCACAAAAGGAAGGTTGGGATTGATTTTGGGGGTTATGGTACCAACAGTAAAGGAATTAGGGGCCAAAAGGGGCCAAAAATAAGCATTTTTGTAACTTCCAGACATAACTTGTGTGTTAGTGTATGGATCTCTCTGACATTGTACCACAAGGTTCCATATCACAAAAGGAATGCTGGGATTGATTTTGGGGGTAATTGCCTCAAAATTTTAGGAATTAGGGGCCAAAAAAGGGGCAAAAAACAAGCATTTTTCTAGTTTCATGATAATAACTTGTGTGTAAGTGTATGGATCTTTCTGAAATTGTACTACAAGGTTCCATATCACAAAGAGAAAGCTGGAATTGAGTTTGGGGGTAATTGCCCAAAACGTTTAGGAATAAGGGGCCAAAAAGGGGCCAAAAATAAGCATTTTTCTAGTTTCCAGACAATAACTTGTGTTAAAGTGTATGGATCTCTCTGAAATTGTACCACAAGGTTCCATATCACACAGGGAATGCTGGGATTGATTTTGGGGGTAATTGCCTCAAAATATTAGGAATTAGGGACCAAAAAAGGGGCAAAAAACAAGCATTTTTCTAGTTTCATGATAATAACTTGTGTGTAAGTGTATGGATCTTTCTGAAATTGTACTACAAGGTTCCATATCACAAAGGGAAAGCTGGAATTGAGTTTGGGGGTAATTGCCCTAAACGTTTAGGAATTTGGGGCCAAAAAGGGGCCAAAAAACACATTTTTTTTAGTTTCCAGACAATAACTTGTGTTCAAGTGTATGGATCTCTCTGAAATTGTACTGCAAGGTACCATACCACAAAGGGAAGGCTGGGATTGAGTTTGGGGTGATGAATCATAAGGGGGTTCAAAAAATTTGGGGGGGGATTTTTTTTTTCCTTTTTTTTTTCTTTTAAAATTTTCCATTTTAAGTTGGTTATTTCTGATTTATATTTAAAAGCAAATAATAATGATATGGTAGGAGATACACACCAAACAGGATGTGTAAATTTTTATATAATAAGTATTGCGCAATAGCAAGAAATTTTCAATTGCACAGTATTGCACAATAGCAAGAAATCTTCAATTGCACAGTATTGCACAATAGCAAGAAATCTTCAATTGCACAGTATTGCGCAATAGCAAGAATTATCCAATAGCACAGTATTGCGCAATAGCAAGAAATTGTCAATTGTACAGTATTGCGCAATAGCAGGAAATATTCAATTGCACAGTATTGTGCAAAAGAAGATACTTCGTATAAATTGCTTATTTCTTGACCAATTTCAATGGGGTTTTATTCTTGAATTCTTGGGGTTCTTTAATATGCTGAATCTAACCGTGTATTAAGTTTTTGGATTTTGGGCGCCGTTTTTAAATTGGTCCACATTGAGGTCCAAAGGGTCCAAAATTAAACTTTGTTTGATTTCATCAAAAATTAAATTATTGGGGTTCTTTGATATGCCGAATCTAACCGTGTATTTAGATTCTTAATTTTTGGTTCCGTTTTCAAATTGGTCTACATTAAGGTCCAAAGGGTCCAAAATTAAACTTAGTTTGATTTTAACAAAAATTGAATTCTTAGGGTTCTTTGATATGCTGAATCTAAACATGTATTTAGATTTTTGATAATGGGCCCAGTTTTCAAGTTGGTCCAAATCGGGGTCCAAAATTAAACTTTGTTTGATTTCAACAAAAATTGAATATATGGGGTTCTTTGATATGCTGAATCTAACCATGTATTTAGATTTTTGATTTTTGGGCCCCGTTATCAACTTTGTCCACATTGAGGTCAAAAGGGTCCAATTTTAAACTTTGTTTGATTTCATCAAAAATTGAATTCTTGGGGTTCTTTGATATGCTGAATCTAACCATGTATTTAGATTTTTGATTTTTGGGCCCCGTTATCAACTTTGTCCACATTGAGGTCAAAAGGGTCCAATTTTAAACTTTGTTTGATTTCATCAAAAATTGAATTCTTGGGGTTCTTTGATATGCTGAATCTAACCATGTATTTAGATTTTGGATATTGGACCATAATAGGTGAATGTCCAATTTAAAATTTTTAAGTTCTTAGACCACATTCATTCTGTGTCAGAAACCTATGCTGTGTCAAATATTTAATCACAATCCAAATGCAAAGCTGTATCAAGCTTGAATGTTGTGTCCATACTTGCCCCAACTGTTCAGGGTTCGACCTCTGCGGTCGTATCAAGCTGCGCCCTGCGGAGCATTTTATTGTTCATTAACTTGACTGCCGATCTGTGATCAGAGAGTTAGCTATAGGCTTGTAAGCATTACAGGCAAGAATTTGTTTATTATCCTGACCTCCGATCTATGATCAGAGATAGGTATGCTTTACCCATTGTAAATGTAGTTTTCATTTGTAAATTTAACAAGAGAAAGCACATGATTGTTATATTATATACCATTTTATATAGATAATTTTTATAGCTTATTATATCTACCGGTATTTGATAGCGCTACAAAGAAAAATGAAAAAAGTTGTGTTTTTGCTAGGTGAACCATGGAAGTATAGGTAAAGACAACTTTCACATTCGTGCATTTTCCTATACTTTTCCAATGTCTCAATGCTTGTGTTAAATGTCAGAGTAAGAGTTGATTGTTCAATGACGTCATTTACACCAATTGACTAATAGTCGACCAGCGTAACTTATTCGTAAAACAGAACTCAACCCGAAATCGGTCTGTTACATTTATTTTTACTCATTTTTAGCTCATCTGGCCCAATGAAACTGCTGGGCCAAATTTAACCAAACTTGGCCACAATCATCATTAGGGTATCTAGTTAAAAAAATGTGTCCGATGACCCAGCCCGCAAACCAAGATGGCCGACATGGCTAAAAATAGAACATAGGGGTAAAATGTAGATTTTGGCTTATATCTCTGAAACCAAAGTATTTAGAGCAAATCTGACGTGGAAAATTTGTTCATCAGGTCAAGATCTATCTGCCCTGAAATTTTCAGACGATTCAGACAATCTGTTGTTGGGTTGCTGCCCCTAAATTGGTAATTTTAAGGAAATTTTGCAGGTTTGGTTATTATCTTGAAAATTAATATAGAGATAAACTGTAAACAGCAATAATGTTCAGCAAAGTAAGATCTACAAATAAGTGAACATGACCAAAATTGTCAATTGACCCCTTAAGGAGTTATTGCCCTTTAAAGTCAATTTTTCAGAAATTTTTGTAATCTTTTACAAAAATCTTCTCTGAAACTACTGAGACAAATTTAACCAAATTGGCCACAATCATCATTAGATTCAAAAATGTGTCCAATGACCCCGCCTGCCAACGAACATGGTTGATATGGCTAAAAATAGAACATAGGGGTAAAATGCAGTTTTTGTCTTATATCTCTGAAACAAAAGCAAAAGTATAATGGTTGCATTATTTCATGAATCAATTGTAAACAAAAATATCAGGTGAGCAACACAGGCTCCTTGGAGTCTCTTGTTGAAAGAGCTACAATTAGTTTTGTATAGCAACAACAAATTTCATACAGACCATAACCTAAAGTAAACATGCAATAATGTTTCATATTGCACTAGTGCAAATAAAGCTTTAAATATGATGCAAAACAAAAAAATGTTTTGAGCTTTACTGTACAAAAGTAGGGTTATAGCATGAATATTGGTGCGAATACTTTCCCTTGTAAAATATATATAACGCACACAAGCCCATGCAATTTACAAATCTACTTCTGACAATATTCATAAATATTCATGCAATAACCATCTTTATTAATTTACAAATTAGACCATCTAGCAAGCAATCTAATGCAAATTATATTCATTTTTTTGTACACTCTCAAATACTGTAAATTCAGAAATTATTGTGAGGTTTTTATTTATGTGAATAATGCCACTGGGTGAGTATCACAATAATAAGAACTCACATTCTGATATCTGATACATTGATCTCTATGCAGATTTTCCTGAAATCACAATAATTAAAATCGCATATTTCCATTCTTCAAAAAATTACAATAAAAAATGCACGCAATATTTCTGAATTAACATTAGTTAAGCTGTAAGTAATATTTTCTTGTATTATTTTATAAAGCTGTAAAATTGTAAGTGCTAAGGATGTTATTTTTATAATAAATATATGATTTAAATAAAATTTTGTATTGTTTTCATTGATTTGTATGATAATAAGGAGATTTGTTGTGATTGCCAAGTAAACAACTATCAAACGAAATCCTAATGATGTGGATGTTCCCATAAGGCCTTCAAAAATTTGCAAGATGTAATTGTCATCCTTACTTCTTGACAGGCCAAGAACTTTGAGTTTGATTGGTCTAGCTGTTCAGTTTGGCATTGTAAAAGTTTATTATTTTACTTGACGATGGTTTTTTGAGAATGGTTGCTTTTAAGAACCATGTCAATCAGCTGTCAGCTTACTATAAACCATGTCAATGCAAACTGGTAGATATAACATAGTCGTTGATAACTATAAAAAGCGTTGTATAACACCATGATACAGAGTTCTTCTGACATTCCCCAACACTTAAGTTATGGTAATGCATGCAGTCAACCAAACATTTCAAAGCTGGATGACTGTACAGCGTTGTAGGTTTGCTGCAATAACGGAAGAGCATGGGGACATAACTAGCTTTTCAAGGTACATTTAGTGGATTGCGGATAAACAGGAGCACCCCTCTCCTATATATGAAAAATTGTTAAATATCTCAAAAATTCGTAAGGGTTCCACGGAACCCAGTGTCTCGCCTACTTTTGCTGTTAATCGCAGGCTCAACAAAAATGAGGAAAAAAATTAATAAAAATATTCCTCTCTATACAATCTTTTGATTATAAGTAGCTTCTGTCCAAGTTTGGTAAAAATCCAGGATAGTTTATGAATCTTAATAAATGTTTTAATAAATTAAACTGCAGACTGTATGTAATGTTAACTGGAAGAAAAACTAAGTCCATTTATAAGTAAAATACAGAAAAAATGGAACAAAATTTTTTAACAAAATTTCCTTCTAGATACTAGCTTTTAATCATAAACAAGCTTCTGTCCAAGTTTGATACAAATCCAGGATAGTTTAAGAAAGTTATTAAAATTTCAAAAACTTTAACCACAGAGTGAATATTTGTGGACTCTGCCGACGACGGAATGTAGGATCGCTATGTCTCCCTTTTTCGACAAAAGTCGAAGGCTCGACAAAAATGGATCTGATTCCCACCCTATTCTTATAAAGTCTTAATACCCTTGGTAAAACCTTTCTGATTCATCATAGTTTTGTTGCTGGGGGTGGGGGCATTACCAGCCCCACACATACATGTATAATTTGTTGTATAGCTTGAAAACTGTTCTTATCCCTATCCCTTCACCATATATATCCCTGCCCTAAATCATATAATTTCAAAGTGCCATGACAAGACCTTTAAGTGTACTATAGATGTTGTCTGTGTTACAGGGGTGATTGGGTCATGTCCCACCCTTTCATATCATAAATTGTTAAATATATTGTAAACATAAGATTCTCCTACATTAACCATTTATATATTAATATATTCTCATTTGCCATGGGAATACCTTTTCAGTATTATAATGTATTTGTTGGAACTTTCTTTACTAGTGTGACTTCTGAAAATGAAGGAGAGACAATAGTTTTAGTCCATTAAAACAGTTCCAACAAGTTTGCTTTGCTTGAGTGCCAGTATTCAAATAACTTCTTTTGTGTTTTACTTTATGACAGATGGTGTAGAAAGGAAAAGGGGTAGATTTGTGCATAACTAAAAATAGTTTACCCACCCCCATTTTGTGCATGTATCAAGTCAGGCTAGTTAGACCATGTTGTTATTACTTTTTGTTGTTTTTCATTTTTTTGTTGCCAATGAGACAACTATCCATCAGAGTGCAAATGATTTCGATGTAAGCAATTATAGGTCATTGTATAGCCTTCAATAAAAGAAAAACCCATAACGTATACCTATATTCGTCTACAGTTGTGTATAATACGCATCCCCTGATACCTACAACTACATGTCTTCGGTAAAAAAAACGTGCGTATTGTATACAAACGAATACGGTAGTCAGCTTTAAAACACTTTAAAAATGTGATATAATTTAAACGATTTCTAATTTCTTAATTAAGAACAATTCAATTTACGAACTAAAATGACAAGACAACAACCATACACCGAGTTACTGGATGGGGGTCCCTCATTTCTGTATTCTTTATTTTTTAATTTATTTTTCTCTATTCTTGATATTTCTGCCCATTATTCTCTATTCTTCATATTTTAGTACCGTATTATTCTCTATTCTTTTTTTTTTTTTTGCCCTATTTTTCTTTTTTCTTTATTTTTTGGCCACTTTTCTGTACCTTTGGCCCATTATTCTGTATTCTGTAAACCCCACCAAGACCCTCCTGTTTGTCTGTGGGGGGGATCTAGTGTGGGTAATTATTATTTTTATAATTACTGTCCAATTTTGATAAAAGTACTTAAATACGATGTATATAAGGGTAGAAGCACACTGTGATACTTGTGACTAGTTGTGAATAAATTTAGGTAGTTTTGCCATACACAATATGCTAACATGAATAAATGCAATATTATGCTCGCTTTAATAATTCTCGTTATCATCAGTGCAAAAAGACATTTATGTCGTAAAAACAAACATCTTATAAGTGAGTTTCAACATACCATAGTCCCTCTTTTATAAGTAGCAGTATAAATTACTGTCTTCTATCCCCAATAGCAACCATGCTGTAGCCGTTGTTGATTCTAGCCCCAATATCAACCATGCTGTTGCCATTGTTGATTCTAGCCCCAATATCAACCATGATGTTGCCATTGTTGATTCTAGCCGCAATATCAACCATGCTGTCGCCATTGTTGATTCTAGCCCCAATATCAACCATGCTGTTGCCATTGTTGATTTAAGAACTCAACTTGAAAAATAAACATGAATAAAACAAACTAAGCATTATTTGTGAATCACAATTAACATCAGAGGAATCCCATATACACATGAAGAACGTCCCGATTTATGTACAAAACAATGAACGAAAAACAAATATTGACTTGGGACAGGCACATAAAGAATGTGGCGGGGTTAGACATGTTAACGGGCGCCCAGCCCTCTTCTTAACCTGGGACAGTGGTGTAACCTTAAAAACAAACTATAAAAATCCGTTGAAAAGGAACGATAAAAAGCACAAAAATAACTAACGAAAACACTAAAGACACAAAGTAAAAAAGACTGCATTAGAGGCATACCCACAAATGCGCAGAAGGAACAGAAATAAAATTAGTTCTTTTTTTTCTCGTTTTTCCGTTCTCATTGAATTTGTGTGCTTTGAACATCAGCAAAATACTGTTTACCTCAAATCTTACTGATAATCAACGTATTATTAATAGAATATATTATATTTTTTTTTTTGCATTTAACATTTAATATACAGTCTTAGGATAATGTTGTTTTATATATCAAAAACTGTTTCAAAAATTCGTGGAATTTTATGAAACTATTACAGAAGCTTCTTATTTTTATTGCAAGCCCCATAAAATTGTTGATTAATAAATCTTTTGAAAATTCAGTCTTTCCAGAAAAACTTAAATCTGCTCAAGTGGCCCCAATTCTCAAAAAGAACAACACCCTTGAAAAAGGTTATTACCGTCCTATAAGTGTGCTGCCAGCTATTTCTAAATTTCATGAGCGAGCAATTCACGATGAACTAATGGAATTTCTAAAAAAAAACATTTTAAGGCGAAGTGTACGTAATTGCACGCCTCTAGCGGAATTCAGGATAAAAAACGTGCGTCGTTAGTTACGCGGGTTATCTCCCCTACTCCAAGAAAGGAAAAATGGGCACATGAAAGAGAAATGACTTCGTGCGGTCTATCATTAATTCAAACAAGTTTTCATGTGCTATCTCAAAACTTCAAAGAAATAATTAGAATGACTCCAATCAGAAATCTGAGTATCCTATTGTGAGTTAGTCTGACTCTATTACCACTGTTTTTGTTTTAGACACGCAGGAGCAGGTACACAATACACCTTATCGCTATTCCCGCTTGACCCGAGAATCTGTCCCGCTCGAACTTTTGACGTCATACAACAATCACTTTTCCATTGTGGCGTCAGACATTTTCTATTATGACGTCAAAATTTTACGGGAACTTGTGTGATGTCCAGTAATGGCGGACAAATAGCGATAAGGTGTATACGACTCGTGTTTATTTCAACAGAAGGTAAAAACGCCTAAACAACAAAATTATAACCAAATAAAAAATAAACCAGTGACAATTCTGCTCCTATTCGTATCAAATTCATTAAAATCAAACCAGAATTGACCCCACAATATTTTTTGAAAAACCATAGTTTTGAATGAAATGCACAGTGTACTGTAGATCCTGTAGCGTAAAATTGTAGGTAACGAATAATTATATTGCATGTGAATTTGTGTCTTGAACAAGAAAGACGTTGGCATGTCCGTTTTTATGCAATTGAAAATTTTATGATGTTTTATATTTTATTATTTATGTAAAAAGTATAAAAGATACTAAGGGGTAATCGACCACTAGTACAACATTTATAAGCCGAAGAAAAAGCCAACAGCAAAAAAAAACCATCAGATTCCGTCCACAAAACATTACACACTCGATCAGAAACTAAGAATTGTTCACTATTACATTTATCTCAGAATATGTAAAATCTATGTCATCCAAATCTCAGTTTTCAAGGTGCAGAAAATAAACAGGTGTCTTCTATTCCGTCCGCAATTTTTGGGGAAAGTAAAATCTAAATTTAGAACCATGGTTGAAACTGAAACTACACATGTATGATAAAAATAGAACGTGTTATTTTTTCTTAATCAAATTCCGATTTCGAAGGGATAGCGAAATTTGTTCTCTTTTGTTGTGCTTTTGTGTATCATTCAGCAGTAGTATAAGGTAGGGGAAGAAGGGGTAGGGGTGAAGAATAATAGTTCTACAATGTCGGGGCTTTTTATAACCCGGCGACTATATACGGTATGGATTTTCTCATTGTTGAAGGCGCATGATTGCCTATAACAATTGCTTACATCCACATCCATTAAGGTAGCTGGGGTGTCTAAATGTTGGACGATAGATTTTTCTTAAACTTCTGTAAGACTTCTGTGT